GCATCCTCAGGGGTAGTGAGGTCTGTTGGAATTAGGAAAAAGGGTTTATATATCTGTGAATGACCAGGGTGGGACAAAGGACTCTTGTCTGCTGGAGCTAGGTGTGAATGTTTCACTGGAATCACTAGGCTGTTGTAGGTTTTTTCGGGCTATATGGCTATGGTCTAGAGGCATTCTCTCCTGACATTTCGCCTGCATCTATGGCAAGCATCCTCAGAGGTAGTGAAGTCTGTTGGAAGTAGGAAAAAGGGATTATATATCTGTGGAATGATGACCAGGGTGGGACAAAGGACTCTTGTCTGCTGGAGCTAGAGGTGAATGTTTCAACTGACCACCATTTCTGACCACCTTGATTAGCATATAATGGCCTGGCAGTGCCATCAAACTTTTGTTGAGAGGTGATTAGATGTCCTTGTTTGTTTCTTCTCCGTTGTTGTGCTGTGCCGCAGGATGTTCACAAATTTGGAGGATGGTCCAAAAACACAATCGAAACCCTCCTGACAGATGGCCATCCAGACTCTGCTTTGTTGTTGTTCATTCGTTCAGTCGTCTCCGACTCTTCGTGACCTCACGGACCAGCCCACGCCAGAGCTCCCTGTCGGCCGTTACCACCCCCAGCTCCTTCAAGGTCAGTCCAGTCACTTCAAGGATGCCATCCATCCATCTTGCCCTTGGTCGGCCCCTCTTCCTTTTGCCTTCCACTTTCCCCAGCATCATCGTCTTCTCTAGGCTTTGCTGTCTCCTCATGATGTGGCATTCAAAGGACTTCCACTTTCCCTCTCGTCTCCTTCCCTCCAGTGAGCAGCCGGGCTTTATTTCCTGGAGGATGGACTGGTTGGATCTTCTCGCAGTCCAAGGCACTCTCAGCACTTTCCTCCAGCACCACAGCTCAAAAGCATCTCTCTTCCTTCGCTCAGCCTTCCCTAAGGTCCAGCTCTCACATCCGTAGGTGACTACAGGGAAGACCATGGCTTTGACTAGGCAATGGATCTTGGTTGCCAGTCTGATGTCTCTACTCTTGACTATTTTATCGAGACTGGACATTGCTCTCCTCCCAAGAAGGAAGCGTCTTCTGATTTCCTGGCCACAGTCTGCATCTGCACTCATCTTTGCGTCTAGAAATACAAACCCTGTCCCTGCCTCCATGTTTTCTCCCTCTATTTCCCAGTTGTCAATCATTCTTGTTGCCATAATCTTGGTTTTTTTGACGTTTAGCTGCAACCCGGCTTTTGCGCTTTCTTCTTTCACCTTGATTAGAAGGCTCCTCAGCTCCTCCTCGCTTTCGGCCATCAGAGTGGTGTCATCTGCATATCTGAGGTTGTTAATGTTTCTTCCAGCCATTCTCACCCCAGCCTTGCATTCCTCTAGCGCCGCACATGTGATGTGTTCTGCATACAAGTTAAAAAGGTTGGGTGAGAGTATGCAGCCTTGCCGTACGCCTTTCCCAATCTTGAACCAGTCTGTTGTTCCGTGGTCAGTTCTGACTGTTGCTACTTGGTCCTTGTACAGATTCCTCAGGAGAAAGACAAGGTGGCTTGGAATGCCCATCCCACCAAGAACTTGCCACAATTTATTATGATCCACACAGTCAAAGGCTTTAGAATAGTCAATGAAGCAGAAGTAGATGTTTTTCTGAAACTCCCTGCCTTTCTCCATTATCCAGCGGATATTGGCAATCTGGTCTCTGGTTCCTCTGCCTTTTCTAAACTGCATGTGTAGGGAAGAGATCCCCAGGAGCCGCCCTTCCAGGGGCACTTCCCTTCTGGCAGGGAACATGCTTCTACCATAAGGCAGGACACAATCCAACTCTCCCCGACAGACGGCCAGCCAGCCAGCCCAGAGTTGGGACCCCAAAGGCCATTCAGTCCAACCCCCTCCTGCCATAAAGGAAGGCACCAAGAGATCCCCATCCATCCCTCCCTCCTTGGCGCCTCACCATTTTGCCGCCTTCAGTCCCTCTTCTTTCGGCCCTTCAGAAGCAAAAGGCGCCACTCAACGCACTGTTGCCGTAGCAACCCACACTTCCGGCGGAAGCGGGCTTCTCCGTCGCTTCTCCTCCTCCGTCAAGGCGACGCGCCACCTCATTGGTCCAAAGCTGTGGCTTGGCTCCGCCCCCCGGAGAGAGAGGGCGGGGTCTCCGCCGCCAAGGCAACCCTTTGGCTCTGGCTTGCTGCGCCTGCGCACTGCCCCCTGCTGGGCTTGTTTGGGTCCCATGTCATCCTCCTCCTCTTTCCAAGTCCTTTGTAATAGAATATCATCTTAATTACCTTGAAATATATTATATACTTGCCATCCCCTGCCACGTGTTGCTGTGGCCCAGTCTGTGTATATGTGTGTGTATATATTTGTGTATATGTATATCTATGTGGCTTTGTGCATGTGTTGTAATGTATTTTTAATGTCTTGTCAAAGGCTTTCATGCCCGGAATCACTAGGCTGTTGTAGGTTTTTTCGGGCTATATGGCTATGGTCTAGAGGCATTCTCTCCTGACATTTCGCCTGCATCTATGGCAAGCATCCTCAGAGGTAGTGAGGTCTGTTGGAACTAGGAAAAGGGGATTATATATCTGTGGAATGATGACCAGGGTGGGACAAAGGACTCTTGTCTGCTGGAGCTAGAGGTGAATGTTTCAACTGACCACCATTTCTGACCACCTTGATTAGCATATAATGGCCTGGCAGTGCCTGGAGCAAACTTTTGTTGAGAGGTGATTAGATGTCCTTGTTTGTTTCTTCTCCGTTGTTGTGCTGTGCCGCAGGATGTTCACAAATTTGGAGGATGGTCCAAAAACACAATCGAAACCCTCCTGACAGATGGCCATCCAGACTCTGCTTTGTTGTTGTTCATTCGTTCAGTCGTCTCCGACTCTTCGTGACCTCACGGACCAGCCCACGCCAGAGCTCCCTGTCGGCCGTTACCACCCCCAGCTCCCTCAAGGTCAGTCCAGTCACTTCAAGGATGCCATCCATCCATCTTGCCCTTGGTCGGCCCCTCTTCCTTTTGCCTTCCACTTTCCCCAGCATAATTGTCTTCTCTAGGCTTTGCTGTCTCCTCATGATGTGGCCAAAGGACTTCCACTTTGTCTCTAGTCTCCTTCCCTCCAGTGAGCAGCCGGGCTTTATTTCCTGGAGGATGGACTGGTTGGATCTTCTCGCAGTCCAAGGCACTCTCAGCACTTTCCTCCAACACCACAGCTCAAAAGCATCTCTCTTCCTCCGCTCAGCCTTCCCGAAGGTCCAGCTCTCACATCCGTAGGTGACTACAGGGAAGACCATGGCTTGGACTAGGCAATGGATCTTGGTTGCCAGTCTGATGTCTCTACTCTTCACTATTTTATCGAGACTGGACATTGCTCTCCTCCCAAGAAGGAAGCGTCTTCTGATTTCCTGGCCACAGTCTGCATCTGCAGTCATCTTTGCACCTAGAAATACAAAGTCTGTCACGGCCTCCACATTTTCTCCTCTATTTTCCAGTTGTCAATCATTCTTGTTGCCATAATCTTGGTTTTTTTGACGTTTAGCTGCAACCCGGCTTTTGCGCTTTCTTCTTTCACCTTGATTAGAAGGCTCCTCAGCTCCTCCTCGCTTTCGGCCATCAGAGTGGTGTCATCTGCATATCTGAGGTTGTTAATGTTTCTTCCAGCCATTCTCACCCCAGCCTTGCATTCCTCAAGCGCCGCACATGTGATGTGTTCTGCATACAAGTTAAAAAGGTTGGGGGAGAGGATGCAGCCTTGCCGGACGCCTTTCCCAATCTTGAACCAGTCTGTTGTTCCGTGGTCAGTTCTGACTGTGGCTCCTTGGTCCGTGTACAGATTCCTCAGGAGAGAGGGAAGGGGGCTTGGGATGCCCATCCCACTAAGAACTTGCCACAATTTATTATGATCCACACAGTCAAAGGCTTTAGAAGAGTCAATGAAGCAGAAGGAGATGTTTTTCTGGAACTCCCTGCCTTTCTCCATTCTCCAGCATCCGGATATTGGCAATCTGGTCTCTGGTTCCTCTGCCTTTTCTAAACCCAGCTTGAACATCTGGCCACTCTCGCTCCATGTCTTGCTGGAGTCTTCTTCCTTGCAGGATCTTGAGCATTCCCTTCCTGGCATGAGGAGAAATAAGGGCCACTGTACGGAAGTTGGAGCAGTCTTTCGCATTTCGACAGACACAATCCAACTCTCCCCGACAGACGGCCAGCCAGCCAGCCCAGAGTTGGGACCCCAAAGGCCATTCAGTCCAACCCCCTCCTGCCATAAAGGAAGGCACCAAGAGATCCCCATCCATCCCTCCCTCCTTGGCGCCTCACCATTTTGCCGCCTTCAGTCCCTCTTCTTTCGGCCCTTCAGAAGCAAAAGGCGCCACTCAACGCACTGTTGCCGTAGCAACCCACACTTCCGGCGGAAGCGGGCTTCTCCGTCGCTTCTCCTCCTCCGTCAAGGCGACGCGCCACCTCATTGGTCCAAAGCTGTGGCTTGGCTCCGCCCCCCGGAGAGAGAGGGCGGGGTCTCCGCCGCCAAGGCAACCCCTTGGCTCTGGCTTGCTGCGCCTGCGCACTGCCCCCTGCTGGGCTTGTTTGGGTCCCATGTCATCCTCCTCCTCTTTCCAAGTCCTTTGTAATAGAATATCATCTTAATTACCTTGAAATATATTATATACTTGCCATCCCCTGCCACGTGTTGCTGTGGCCCAGTCTGTGTATATGTGTGTGTATATATTTGTGTATATGTATATCTATGTGGCTTTGTGCATGTGTTGTAATGTATTTTTAATGTCTTGTCAAAGACTTTCATGGCTGGAATCACTGGGTTGTTGTAGGTTTTTTTGGGGCTATATGGCTATGGTCTAGAGACATTCTCTCCTGACGTTTCGCCTGCATCTATGGCAAGCATCCTCAGAGGTAGTGAGGTCTGTTGGAACTAGGAAAAAGGGTTTATATATCTGTGGAATGATGTCCAGGGTGGGACAAAGGACTCTTGTCTGTTGGAGCTAGGTGTGAATGTTTCAACTGACCACCTTGATTAGCATTTGATGGCCTGGAAGTGCCTCTAGCATTCTCTCCTGACGTTTCGCCTGCATCTATGGCAAGCATCCTCAGAGGTAGGGAGAGGTCTGTTGGAACTAGGAAAAAGGGTTTATATATCTGTGGAATGATGTCCAGGGTGGGACAAAGGACTCTTGTCTGCTGGAGCTAGGTGTGAATGTTTCAACTGACCACCTTGATTAGCATTTGATGGCCTGGCAGTGCCTCTAGCATTCTCTCCTGACGTTTTGCCTGCATCTATGGCAAGCATCCTCAGAGGTAGTGAGGTCTGTTGGAACTAGGAAAAGGGTTTATATATCTGTGGAATGACCAGGGTGGGACAAAGGACTCTTGTCTGTTGGAGCTAGGTGTGAATGTTTCAACTGACCACCTTGATTAGCATTTGATGGCCTGAATTGATTGTTCTCCTGACGTTCTGCCTGCATCTATGGCAAGCATCCTCAGAGGTAGTGAGGTCTGTTGGAACTAGGAAAAATGGGTTTATATATCTGTGGAATGACCAGGGTGGGACAAAGGACTCTTGTCTGCTGGAGCTAGGTGTGAATGTTTAAACTGACCACCTTGATTAGTTTAGGCTATATGGCCATGTTCTAGAGGCATTTTCTCCTGACGTTTCGCCTGCATCTATGGCAAGCATCCTCAGAGGTAGGGAGGTCTGTTGGAAGTAGGAAAAAGGGCTTATATATCCTGTGGAATGATGTCCAGGGTGGGACAAAGGACTCTTGTCTGTTGGACCTAGGTGTGAATGTTTCAACTGATCACCTTGATTAGCATTTGATTACCTGGCAGTGCCTGGAGCAATATTTTGCTAGGTGGGAATGTTCCAACTTTGATTAGCATATAATGGCCTGACAGTGCCTCGAGCAAACTTTTGTTGAGAGGTGATTAGATGTCCTTGTTTGTTTCCTCTCTGTTGTTGTGCTGTTGTAATTTTAGAGTTTTTTTTAATACTGGTAGCCAGATTTTGTTCATTTTCATGGTTTCCTCCTTTCTGTTGAAATTGTCCACATGCTTGTGGATTTCAATGGCTTCTCTGTGTAGTCTGACATGGTGGTTGTTGGAGTGGTCCAGCATTTCTGTGTTCTCAAATAATATGCTGTGTCCAGGTTGGTTCCTCAGGTGCTCTGCTATGGCTGACTTCTCTGGTTGAAGGAGTCTGCAGTTCTAGAGGAATTTCCCCTGACGTTTCGCCTCCATTCATGGCAGGCATCCTCAGAGGTAGTGAGGTCTGTTGGAACTATGAAAAGTGGTTTATATATCTGTGGAATGACCAGGGTGGGACAAAGGACTCTTGTCTGCTTGAGCTAGGGGGGAATGTTTCAACTTACAACTTCATTAGCATTTGAAGGCTTGGCTGAGCCTGGGGGAATCTTTTGTTGAGAGGTGTTAAGATGTGCCTGGTTGTTTCCTCTCTGCTGTTTTGCTGTTGTAATTTTAGAGTTTTTTAAATACTGGTAGCCAGATTTTGTTCATTTTCATGGTCTCTTCCTTTCTGTTGAAATTGTCCACATGTCCATTCTACTACTATTATTATTATTATTATTATTATTATTATCTTTATTTATACCCAGCTAACATCTCCCGAAGGACTCGGTGCGGCTTACAAAGGCCAAAGCCCTCAATAAAACAACAGCATAACAAATACAACAATAAAACTCATAAAGCAAACAAAAAATTAAAGCAATAACAATAAACATTAAAAACTTAACACCACATTTAAAAACTGAGGCCAGGCCAAAGGTAAGTAATAAAATGTAAAAGTGCTGGACATGACAGGTGACATGTATAGGTTTTTAGAGGTTCACCCGTAGCTCCAGCAGACAAGAGTCCTTTGTCCCACTCTGGTCATCATTCCACAGATATATAAACCCATTTTCCTAGTTCCAACAGACCTCACTACCTCTGAGGATGCTTGCCATAGACGCAGGCGAAACGTCAGGAGAGAATGCCTCTAGAACATGGCCATATAGCCCAAAAAAAACTTACAACAACCCTGATCACATTATTATTATTAAAAATACATTAAAATTCTATGATTGCAGAGAGTAAACAATCAGGCACATCTAATCACCTCTCAACAAAAGATTGCCCAGGCACTGCCAGGCCATCAAATGCTAATCAAGGTGGTCAGTTGAAACATTCACACCTAGCTCCAGCAGACAAGAGTCCTTTATCCCACCCTGGTCATTCCACAGATATATAAACCCTTTTTCCTAGTTCCAACAGACCTCACTACCTCTGAGGATGCTTGCCATAGATGCAGGCGAAACGTCAGGAGAAATGCCTCTAGAACATGGCCATATAGCCCGAAAAACCCTACAACAACCCAGTGATTCCGGCCATGAAAGCCTTCAACAATATTATTATTATTATTATTATTATTTATATATCTGTGGACATCTAATCACCTCTCAACAAAAGTTTGCTCCAGGCACTGTGAGGCCATCCAATGCTAATCAAGGTGGTCAGTTGAAACATTCACAGCTAACTCCAGCAGACAAGAGTCCTTTGTCCCACCCTGGTCATTCCACAGATATATAAACCCTTTTTCCTAGTTCCAACAGACCTCACTACCTCTGAGGATGCTTGCCATAGATGCAGGCGAAACGTCAGGAGAGAATGCCTCTACAACATGGCCATATAGCCCCAAAAAACCTACAACAACCCACTAATCAAGGTGGTCAGTTGAAACATTCACAGCTAACTCCAGCAGACAAGAGTCCTTTGTCCCACCCTGGTCATTCCACAGATATATAAACCCTTTTTCCTACTTCCAACAGACCTCACTACCTCTGAGGATGCTTGCCATAGATGCAGGCGAAACGTCAGGAGAAAATGCCTCTAGAACATGGCCATATAGCCCAAAAAAACCTACAACAACCCTGTAATCAAAACTCAGTTGAAACATTCACACCTAGCTCCAGCAGACAAGAGTCCTTTGTCCCACCCTGGTCATTCCACAGATATATAAACCCTTTTTCCTAGTTCCAACAGACTTCACTACCTCTGAGGATGCTTGCCACAGATGCAGGCAAAACATCAGGAGAGAATGCCTCTAGGCCATGGCCATATAGCCCAAGCAAACCTACAACAACCCAGTGATTCCGGGCATGAAAGCCTTCGACAATACACTTTATTTTATGGTTTGTGCAATGAAATCCTTCCTCATTCCCGGAGCCTCCTCCTTATAATTTACACTGTCCTATCTCCCAGTGTTATAATTTTTTTTATCCTTGAATCTGGCCCTGCCTAGTGAAATTTTTTGTGTTTTTAATACTTGATTTTATATTGTTGTGTTGTATATAATTTTGATTTTGCATTTTATGTATTTTGCTTGGTTCTCAACCTTCCTCATGCTGCGACCCCTTAACGCAATCCTCATGTTGTGGTGAACCCCAACCCAAAAAATCATTTTCTTTCCTACTTCATAACTGTCATTTTGCTACTGCTATCAATTGTAAATATCTGATATGCAGGATGTATTTTCATTCACTGGACCAAATTTGGCACAAATACCCGATATGCCCAGATTTGAATACTGGCGGGGTTGGGGGAGTTGTGGTTGCTGGGATTTGTAGTTCACTTGCAATCAAAGAGCATTCTGAACCCTACCAACAATGGAATTGAACCAAGCTTGGCATACAGGACTCCCATGGCCAACAGAAAATTCTGGGAGGGTTTAGTGGGCATTGACCTTGAGTTTGGGAGTTGTAGTTCGCCTACATCCAGAGAGCACTGTGGACTCAAACCATGATGGATCTGGACCAAACTTGGCACGAATACTCAATATGCGCAAATGTGAACACTGGTGGAGTTTGGGGAAAGATCGACCTTGATATTTTGGGAGTTGTAGTTGCTGGGATTTATAGTTCACCTACAAGAGCATTCTGAACTCCACCAACGATGGAATTGAACCAAACTTGGCACACAGAACTCCCATGGCCAACAGAAAATACTGGAAGGGTTTGGTGGGCATTGACCTTGAGTTTGGGAGTTGTAGTTCGCCTACATCCAGAGAGCACAGTGGACTCAAACGATGATGGATCGGGACGAACTTGGTACAAATACTCAATATGCCCAAATGTGAACAGTGGTGGAGTTTGGGGAAAGATAGACCTTGATATTTTGGGAGTTGTAGTTGCTGGGAATTATAGTTCAACTACAAAGAACATTCTGAACCACACCGATGACAGAATTGGGCCAAACTTCCCACATAGAACCCCCATGACCAACAGAAAATACTGTGTTTTCTGGTGGTCTTTAGTGACCCCTCTGAGACCCTTTTGCGACCCACTCAGGGGTCCCGACCCCCAGGTCGAGAAACACTGGCTTATTGGCTATTAGGAATTGTGGGAGTTGCAGTCCAAAACACCTAGAGCAGTGGTTCTCAATCTGAGGGTCCCCAGATGTTTTTGGCCTTCAACTCCCAGAAATCCTAACAGCTGGTAAACTGGCTGGGATTTCTGGGAGTTGTAGGCCAAACACATCTGGGGACCCCAGGTTGAGAACCACTGACCTAGAGGGAAGGCCAAAGTGGGCCGAAGCCTGCTTTGAAGCTCGACTCTCTTTTTAAAATACATTCACAAACCACCCTGTCGTAGTTTCTTGCAAATGTTTACTCCAAAATATGTACAACCAGTGGCTCCACAGAAGTCCAAAACATGTAGGTCCAATAGAAACAAACCTCAACGAGTCCAAAACCACTTATTAAAAGAGTCGGGGGACAGTATTTGAAGGATACAACCTAAAAAGGAGACTATGGTTAAGTTGTGGGGTGCATCCCTTCAACTGGACAACGCAGCCAACCTTGCTCCCCACTGATTTCACTCAATCAGAATATGGACGTGATTCCATGTCCTCCGTCGTAGGGGGGCGGAGAGGCAACAGTTGACCTTCTGGCTCAGTTTGGGGGTTTTCTGTCCTGTTTCGGGGACATGGATTCTGTCCGTAAGAATAACCCTCTCAAAACAGCCCAGCGGGTGTAGCCTTCCCTACGAAGGGTGAGTGAGATTTCAGGAGGGAGGGCTCCTTCCCTATAAGAGGTCCCACTCTCCTCCTTTCATTGAAGGGCAGCAACACAGCATGCAACCCGTTTCTCGCGGACTGACCGTGGCTCTTGCGCCACCTGAGGACTAACACACACAAAGGGGCTCCTTCAGGTGCATAGGGCAAGAAGGGGGCGCCTTCCTCCCCTCGTTAGGCCTGCCTGCCCCACGCAATGCCTCTCAATGCTTCCCCTCCCTCAGCTGGCCTCCGGGTCCAATTCCTCCTGCTTCTCTTCATGCTCCTCGGGGCTTGCTGGGCCCCCACTGCTGCTACCATGTTCGGAGGCCCCAGGAGAAGGGGTGCCCCCTTTCTTCTGCAGGATCTCGGTGGCCTCGTGCTCCAGCACCTCGGAGGGGGTCAAGGGCTCCAGGCGCACGCTGCTGCTCCTGCCGCTGCCGCCGTCCTGTTCGCTGCTCTCTGGAGCGGCCACGGCTGGCTCCCCACGCCTCTGCAAGAACTGCGCAAAGCCCACGTCCTCATCGGAGGCCCACTCGGCCCCCTCCACCATCACGTCCGCCAGCTCCCCCTCGTCCGAGTCGTCCGCCTGCGCCTCCAGAGGCGGAGGAGGGACGCTCCCGCCGTCTCCGCCATGGGGCGATCCTTCTTGGCCACCAACGTCACCTTCTTCTTCTGTATCCTCCTCCGGTGCTTCCGCCGCCGCGCTGTCAGGCGAAGAGGCCTCTGTTTGGGATGGGAGTTCCACAGAAGAGGCACTTTTTGCTGGCGACGGAAGAGGGACGGAAGAGGGACCCCCACTCTCTCCTCGTTCCCAGACTGGCACCTGCACTGATGGGGTCTTCTGGGCTTCCAACAGCACCGATGAGATCTTCTGGGCTTCCACCAGCACTGATGGGGTCTTCTGGGCTTCCAACAGCATTGATGAGATCTTCTGGGCTTCCACCAGCAGTGATGGGGTCTTCTGGGCTTCCACCAGCACTGATGGGGTCTTCTGGGCTTCCACCAGCATTGATGGGGTCTTCTGGGCTTCCAACAGCATTGATGGGGTCTTCTGGGCTTCCAACAGCACTGATGGGGTCTTCTGGGCTTCCACCAGCATTGATGGGGTCTTCTGGGCTTCCATCAGCACTGATGGGGTCTTCTGGGCTTCCAACAGCACTGATGGGGTCTTCTGGGCTTCCACCAGCATTGATGGGATCTTCTGGGCTTCCACCAGCATTGATGGGGTCTTCTGGGCTTCCACTAGCATTGATGGGGTCTTCTGGGCTTCTTTCTGGGAGCCTTTGGGGCTAGGGGGGCTTTTCAAATCCGCCTGTGGCACCGATGCGCCGTCTTCCTTATCCTGAGAAGTCAAAAGGGCCCAATCCGCCTCCCCATTGGCTTCTTCTGCGGGTTCAAGAGGGTCAATCGAGGACACTGGGCTGGTTCCTGCTTCCATCGGAGAAGCCAAGGGCTCATCAGCCGGAGAGACATCTCCATCCTCAGGAGGACTACTTATGGCATCGCCATCCCCTGCAGGGTCCATGGGGTCGTCTTCCACAGAGGCGGAAGGCCCTGCATGGGCTGGGGCATCTGCCATGGAGGGTGAGGAAATACCACCCTGCTCTGCCATTGGCTCTGTCTCCCTTTCTTCTTCCCCTTCTTCTTCAGCAGTGTCTTCAAGGTCCTCTCCACAGGCAGAAGGCCCCAAAGGTGAGGTGGCACTTCCTTCGCACTCCTCCCCTCCACTTAATGGGCATCCAGCACCTTCTCCTCCTTCAGCAGCATCATCTATAGAGTTCTGTGAGGGGTCAGAGGGACTGCCTTTGCTTCCCAGACCAGAAGATGAGGCAACAAGAAGACCACCGTTCTGGCTTAATGGGAAGTCAGCAGTGTCAATGGTGTCTTCTGAGCCTCTAGCAGCATTGATGGGGTCTTCTGGGCTTCCAGCAGCACTGATGGGGTCTTCTGGGCTTCCAGCAGCATTAATGGGGTCTTCTGGGCTTCCACCAGTACTGATGGGGTCTTCTGGGCTTCCAACAGCGCTGATGGGGTCTTCCGGGCTTCCAACAGCATTGATGGGGTCTTCTGGGCTTCCAACAGCATTGATGGGGTCTTCTGAGCCTCTACAAGCATTGATTGTGTCTTCTGGGCTTCCAACAGCATTGATGGGGTCTTCTGGGCTTCCACCAGCACTGATGGGGTCTTTCAAGCCCCTGTCAGCATCAGTGGAGTCTTCTGAGTCTTCAGCAGCACGAATGGAGTCTTCTGAACATCCAGCAGCATCAATGGGATCTTTTGGGGCTTCAGCAGCATCGATGGCATCACCAGAGTGTTCAGCAGTACCCATGAGGTCTTCTGAGCCTCCAGCAGCATCCGTGGGGTGTTCTGAGATGAGAGAAGGTTCTGGGATGGGCCTGTTCTCCAGCCCCGAAGGTGCAGGGCTGTCCTCGCACTCCATGTCTGCAGGGTCTTCACCTCCTGGGCTGGAAAGGTCCTCTGTGTTTCCTCCTCCAGAAGAGTGCTCTGGGTAAGTATGGCGTTCCAAACTGAAGGCATCTTCTGAAGGAGGCCCAGGGACCGTTTTTTCACCTTCAGCAACTAAAAGGTCCTCCTCCTCATCATGTTCCCCACTTCCTTCCTCCACAGAGTGTTCCAGGCAGGCTGGGAGGCAGGGAACGTTTTCTGGAACCAGGGACTCCGCTTCTTCTCCTTTGGCAGCGGCACAAGCGTCTTTGTTGCCCGCCTTCTCCAAGGGATCAATGAGGTCGGATGGCAGCTCAGGGCCAGAACTGCTTTCTGGAGCGGGTGCTCTCTCTTCTTCTTCTCCTCCTTCTCCTTCATGCTTTGCAACTGAAGAGGCCTCCTCCCTTGGGTTTCCAAGATGGTCCTTGTTGGCTTCTTTTATTTCGAAGCTGAAAAAGAAGAAGAGCAAAACATCTGGAATTCAAGTTTTAAATGCCTCCAAAAAACCCGTTTGTTACCTTCCTGTTTTCTAACAACAAAATCTTAAAGTTCAATAACTTCCATTGATTTGAACCTTAAAATGTCACGACACCAAGAACAACAGGAAATGAATATGATAAAACAAAAAAATATCGTTGTATCAACATAGACAAATAAATGAATGTTTTAAGAAAGATAAAAGAATAGGCTTTCAAGAGCAGGACACCTTTTGGGACAGTATATTGAAAACTGAAAGAAAGGTAATAACCAAATTATATAAGAAACTAATAGAATGGAACTTAGAGACAGAAAGTGAGAAAAAATACATGAAAAGATGGAACGAAAATCTGGGAAAAACAATAAGAAAAGAAGACTGGGGAAAAAATCTGGAGAATAAAGATCAAATATACGTACGCAGTAGACCTAAAAGAAAATTGGCTGAAGGTGGCACACAGATGGTATATGACCCCAAAGAAATTAAGTAATTCTCACAAAAACATAAATATAAAATGCTGGAAATGCGGAAGGATAGAGGGTTCATATTTCCACATGTGGTGGTCGTGTCCAAAAGCTAAATTGTATTGGAAAAAAATTAACGAAATGACACAGGACATGCTACATATAAGAATCCCACTTAAACCAGAGATATTTCTATTAGGCATAACAGATCCAAAGATGGATAAAAACACAGATAAACTCCTATTTCTACTAAATACAGCAGCAAGAATTTGCTACACAAAACTTTGGAAAAAGGAAGACACTCCAGAAGTTAAGGACTGGACAGAAAAAATCTTAGATATTAGAAACATGGACAGATTAACATATTTGATATCAAAAAATAAAGGAACCCCAATAAAGGAAACTGACTGGACAGATGTGACAAATGAACTAAAATAAGGAAATAGAAATACAGTAATATAAATAGAGGAGAAAACAGGAAGAAAACACATAGAATCATAGAATCAAAGAGTTGGAAGAGACCTCATGGGCCATCCAGTCCAACCCCATTCTGCCAAGAAGCAGGAATATTGCATTCAAATCACCCCAGACAGATGGCCATCCAGCCTCTGTTTAAAAGCTTCCAAAGAAGAGCCTCCACCAGACTCCGGGGCAGAGAGTTCCACTGCTGAACGGCTCTCACAGTCAGGAAGTTCTTCCTCATGTTCAGATGGAATCTCCTCTCTTGTAGTTTGAAGCCATTGTTTCGCGTCCTAGTCTCCAAGGAAGCAGAAAACAAGCTTGCTCCCTCCTCCCTGTGGCTTCCTCTCACATATTTATACATGGCTATCATATCTCCTCTCAGCCTTCTCTTCTTCAGGCTAAACATGCCCAGCTCCCTAAGCCGCTCCTCATAGGGCTTGTTCTCCAGACCCTTGATCATTTTAGTCGCCCTCCTCTGGACACCTTCCAGCTTGTCAATATCTCTCTTGAATTGTGGTGCCCAGAATTGGACACAATATTCCAGGTGTGGTCTAACCAAAGCAGAATAGAGGGGTAGCATGACTTCCTTAGATCTAGACACTATTCTCCTATTGATGCAGGCCAAAATCCCATTGGCTTTTTTTGCCGCCACATCACATTGTTGGCTCATGTTTAACTTGTTGTCCACGAGGACTCCAAGATCTTTTTCACACGTACTGCTCTCGAGCCAGGCAGTCCCCCATTCTGTATCTTTGCATTGCATTTTTTCTGCCAAAGTGGAGTATCTTGCACAGATGGAAGAAAGAAAAGGAAAATCCACTCAGAAGATATAAAGGAAGTCAACGAGGGAGACATATTCCAGCTGTCTCCATCGTCTGTTTTTAAATCTTTGCTATCTCTATACCTTTTCTTCTTTCCCTTTCTTTTCTTTTCCTTTCCGCCTCTTATATCATTATTATTTTTTTCAGTTTATTTGCACTGTATGTAATAAAATGAAACCTTTAACAAAGAATATATATATATTCTTTGTGTGTGTGTGTGTGTGTGTGTCTGTGTGTGTGTGTGTGTGTGTGTGTGTGTGTGTGTGTGTGTGTGTGTATATATATATATATATATATATATATATATATATATATATATATAAAAGAATGCAGTGCAAGAAGAGAACACAGAAGGGTTCCTGGGGCCCAGAAAAATGTGCAGAAAGTCCACAAATAATACATCCCATTGTGTATTTATTATACCCCAATAATGATGGCCTTATAAAAAACATGGCTGCTCTTGTTTACCTTTTAGGAGGAGGGGGCTGTTGTTGTTGTTCTTCTTCCTCCTTGGGCTCACTGGGCCTTGAAAGTTCCTGAAATACAGATACAAATAGGCATGTTTTCCTGCATTATTATTGTTATTTGTACCCCACTTTACCTAAACGAGTTGTCCCCTGCCACGCGTTGCTGTGGCCGTCTGTTCTTATGTATTTTGTGTGTGTATATGTGTGTGTGCATGTATTTGTGTGTATATGTGAATATATGTGTATGTATCCGTGTCTATATATTTGTGTATTTGTATATGTATATTGTGTATGTGTGTGTGCTTGTTTATATGTATATTTGTGTGTATATATGTGTTTATGTATGTATATATGTATATGTGTATTCATGTGTATATGTATAGATGTGTGTATGTGTATTTGTGTATATTTCTGTGTGCATGTGTATGTATATATCTGTGTGTGCACGTGTATATGTGTGTATTTTATGTATAGATGTGTGTATTTATGTGTGTTTATACATATGTATATGTGTGCATGTATATTCATGTATATATGTATAGATGTGTGTATGCATGTGTGCATGTGTATATGTGTATATATCTGTGTGTGCGCATGCGTATATGTGGGTGTTTTATGTATGTGTGTATTTATGTATGTTTACACATGTGCATGTATGTGTGTGTGTGTGTGTGTGCGTATGTGATTAGGTCAGCTTCATCCACCTGTCTTTCAGGAAGAAACTGAAATCATGGTTCTGGGACCAGGCTTTTGGGCAGCAGGCATAAGAGCACTTGGATGTGGAACTGGACTGGAATGGCTATATGGTTACAAATATTTTTAATTCCTTTTAATTTAATGATTTATTTATTGTTTTAAACTGTTATATCGTATTTGCTTGTATGTTGTGGCATCGAAATCCTGGAAATAATAATAGTAGTAGCAATAATAATAATAGTATTAATAGTATTATTAATAATAATAATAAATGTGTATTGGAAAATAATGGACTGTAAACTCTTTGGTGGGCCAATGGGGTCTCCCTTCGGGGTGAGAAGGGCGGCATATCGATGTCGTAAATAAATAAATAAAATAGGTATATTGCATCCAAATTGGGTGTCAATTGCTCCAGGAGTTTTGTTAATCCCACATTACCTTTTTATTTATATAGACAGACTCAAAGCAGTATAGGGCAGGACCTTCTGGCACAGTCATTGCTCAAGAGAAACAACCAGGATGTTGAAGGGGAAAGGGGACCAAGAGAGGTAAACCCTCTCCATACACTCCACCTGCCCATCCATACAGTCTCATTGAGAGCAAGAGGGGGGAGCCCCCCCCCCCCAGCACCAACAGCTGCTCTGAGATCAGAATGAAGGGAGGGGGCAATTCCATCTTGCCTCCAGTGTCATCAGTTGGGAGCCCCCCGCCTCGCCTCCCCTCCAGCACCAACTGCTGCTCTGAGATCAAAGTGAAGAGAGGGGCCAGGAAGGCAGTTCCATCTTGTCTCCTGCACTGTGCTTATAATATAATATAATATAATATAATATAATATAATATAATATAATATAATATAATATAATATAATATAATGTAATGTAATGTAATATATTGTATATACATATAATATTGATAATATTATACTGTAATACAATATACTACTAATATTAAAATATTATAATTATATATTTTATATTAAATGTAATATCACTAATAATATTACAGTATAACGTTATCGTACCATGTAATATATAATATTAATATTGTGCTATGATAATATATAAGCTATTGTATTTACTGGGATGTTGTAGGTTTTTCCGGGTTATATGGCCATGTTCTAGAGGCATTCTCTCCTGACGTTTCGCCTGCATCTGTGGCAAGCATCCTCAGAGGTAGTGAGGTCTGTTGGAATTAGGAAAGTGGGTATATATATCTGTGGAATGATGACCAGGGTGGGACAAAGGACTCTTGTCTGTTGGAGCTAGGGGGTGAATGTTTCAACTGACCACCTTAATTAATTTTCAACTGACATTTAGGAAACAGGTGAAGACTTGGTTATGGAGACAGGCATTCGACGAGTGTGCCAGATATGGATGGAGGATGATGAACAATGAGTTAGTGTGACGACTGACCATTGTAGTTATTGAATGTAATTGCTGTTTTAATGTTTTAGTGTAAAATAAATTATTATATTTTTATTAACTGTATGTGATATTATGGTTGGAAACCGCTCTGAGTCCCTCAAGAGAGGTGAGAAGACCGGTATATAAAACTTTTAAAATAAATAAATAAATTAGTGAGTTCTTGTAGGTTTTTTCAGGCTAGATGGCCATGTTCTAGAGGCATTTCTCCTGACGTTTCGCCTGCATCTCTGGCAAGCATCCTCAGAGGTAGTGAGGTCTGTTGGAACTAGGAAAAGGGGTTTCTATATCTGTGGAATGACCAGGGTGGGACAAAGGACTCTTGTCTGCTGGAGCTAGGAATGAATGTTTCAACTGATCGCCTTGATTAGCATTTGATTGCTTGGCAGTGCCTGGAGCAATCTTTTGTTGAGATGTGATTAGATGTCCTTCTTTGTTTCCTCTCTGTTGTGCTGTTCTAATTTTGTTTACTTTTGTATTTGCTTTTTACTTGTAAGCCGCTCTGAGTCCCCTTCGGGGTGAGAAGGGCGGCATATAAATGTCGTAAGTAAATAAATAAAATACTCTACCTGGGTTCCTTCCTTGCTTTCGTTCTTCAAAGATGCCTCGCTCGACAGGCTGAGAAACGAAAACAACAGCCATTACTTTCATATAAGATCAGCAACATTAAGGCTGGAGCGAAACCGACATTACAAAAGCCAAATGTCCCGAAAATCCTGACTTAAGAATCATCCCATCCTCAAACAAAGGACTTCCAAGCATCATGGCAATGACAATTCAATCCTTAACTTGAAATACTCACATATTATTCAATCATTGACTCTTTCCAGCCAAACGATGGAACTATTTCGTTGAAAAGTTATCAATGGTATGCTAACGTCGATTTTAAGAAACAAAGCGGCCTCCCCATTAACAAAAGCAGCGAGCCCTTTAAAAAAGCAGCTGTACAGGAGTTGATTATAAATTGTATGATTTTAACTGTATTTGTGTTTAGATTGGCTGCAGTAAGGCTGGAGCGGCCTAAGTCAGAGGAGTCCTCCATGTGCGTTGCCATGGAGACCGATGCAGGAGAGAGGGAAGTGGGAGGAGCTTAGAGGGGAGAGTTTGAAAAAACGACAGTTAAAAAATCAGTTAGGGTTTAGGTTTAGAGGAGTGAGCAGTCAGGAGTTAGGTTCAGAGGAGTGAGGAGTTAGGAGTTGGGAGAGAAGGAAAGGAAAGGTGGCGGAGTGACTTGTGAAGCAAAGCTTTGAGGCTTTGAAAAGCTGGGTTTGGCTATTGGAAGTTTCTCAGGCTAGTGCAGCCGAATGGTGAAACATAGCTGGTATTCTTTTAGTCTAAGGAGAGGCTAAAGAATAGTTTACTTAGTATTTGATCTAGGGAGGATCAACTAAGGGAAACATCCCTGTATGGAAACTTTGTCTGAAACAAGTGCTCTACGTCAGAAAGATACTGTGTTACTTGAAAGAATGAACTGTTAAAGTTACAAGTATTATTCCAAGTGCAACAAGGAAAAGTTACGTCTTGCAACCACACGCTGTGTACTTAATAAAATTGTTAACTTTTATTTGAAGATTGCCTCAGCTCCGTCTATTCTGTGTCCAAAGTGCCATTTCTCACAATGTTACAACTTACCTCACGTGGTGGCAGAAACGCAGGGAAACGTAACCAAATAAACCTACATTCTTCTCTCCAGTCAAGCTACAGTATATACAGTGTAATTACTACTAAGTTATTACTTTCTTAATAAAGGAGGAGGTGCAATTGAACAGCCTCCCTTCCAACTTGATGGTAAATTTGGTTCCTAATCGGCAATCTCCATTGCAAATCAGCCAGTTCTTTTTATCAATTGGGAACTGGGGTAAAATCTCCTGAATACTGGTTCCTTTCAAATTGGTGGCAACAATAAATCATCCCTCCGCTCCCCTGCTTCTTTTCACAGCTTACCCCAGAAGGTTCTCAGCCGCAGAAGGAGGATCGGTGGGACCTGGAATTAAAGGACAGGTCTGTTTCAGAAAAATCCTTTTGTGTATGTATGTACACACACACACACACACTCTTACACAAATACACAACAAAGTATATCATCATGGTGAGTTTGGATATACATATGTTGTTGTATGCCTTTAATGTTGATATGTCTGGACTGCGTTGTGCCCAGCCTCAAGCCGTGAGATTGTGGCTGTTTTTGTTGTTATTATTATTTCAAAGAGGGTGCTAACAAGAGACACTCAAAATCTAAGAGGCACATACCGTTTTCCAAAATAACTTGGCACTCGTGTGTTTCATTGTCGCTGAGGTGGGCAGCCATCTTGTCCATGGCAGAAAGGTCGGCCACAAAGTCGCAGTGAAGGCAGACCAGAGTCAGATCCCTGGAAGGAGGGAAGGAAGGAAGGAAAGAAAGAGGGAATGATGGCGGAAAGGGAGCTTAAAAGCCAGGGCTTCATGCAGGATACCAGAGACAGATGCATCTGGGTATTCCACATACCCCTACGTCCCACCTCGTAATCTAAGATCATCCGGGGAGGCCCTGCTCTCGCTCCCGTCAACAGCACAGATGCGCCTGGCAGGGACGAGAGATGGGGCCTTCTCGGCTGTGGCCCCCCACCTATGGAACACACTCCCAAATGAGGTGAGATCCGCTCCCTCCCTCCTGACTTTTAGAAAAAAAATTAAAATCATGGTTTTGGGAGCAGGAATTCAGGCAGTAGAAGTAAATGTATGCGGCATTTCAGAAAGACAATGACTGGAACGGCGATTCAATGGAGGAGACTGTTTTATTGTTTTAATGATGGTTTTATGGCTCGTGGATGTCCTGTTTTTAACTTGATTTATGTCTAATTGTAGTTGTTTTTGTACTGGCATTGAATTTTTGCCATTACTTATGTGTAAACTGCTTTGAGTCCCCCTCGGGGTGAGAAAAGCGGGATACAAATACTGCAAATAAATAAATAAACAAATACTTTGGCTGGGCCTTGCTGTAACTGATTGCAATGAAAAATGCACTGATGGAGAAAATTTCCAGACGCTGGCAAGGTTTCAGGGGGACACTTAGGCAGGATGATGGGAGCGGCAGTCATAGAATCACAGAGTTGGAGGAGACCCCCTGGGCCATCCAGTCCAACCCCATTCTGCCAAGAAGCAGGAATATTGCATTCAAAGCACCCCTGACAGATGGCCATCCAGCCTCTGTTTAAAAACCTCCAAAGGAGCCTCCACCACACTCTGGGGCAGAGAGTTCCACTGCTGAACGGCTCTCACAAGAAGTTCTTCCTCATGTTCAGGTGGAATCTCCTTTCTTGTGGTTTGAAGCCATTGTTCCGCATCCTCGTCTCCAGGGAAGCAAAAAACAAGCTTGCTCCCTCCTCCTCCTCCTCCCTGTGGCTTCCTCTCACATATTTATACATGGCTCTCATCATGTCTCCTCTCAGCCTTCTCTTCTTCAGGCTAAACATGCCCAGCTCCTTAAGCCGCTCCTTCTAGGGCTTGTTCTCCAGACCCTTGATCATTTGAGTCACCCTCCTCTATTTACTTGAATCTAATGCTCACCGTTTTTGGCTAAATGACCTTGCCAAAATCATTAAGCCAAAAATGGTGAGCATGAGAATCTTCCATTAGATTCGCATCCTACAGGAATCCTAGTGCTGAGCCAAAGCAAAAGGGGAAGCCGCTTCAGAAGGACATCCTTCTATGCAAACACATAACACGCAAATAACTTCAATGCAACGCATATCTTCAAAAGGAAAATGGACCAGTGCTTACTTCAGTTCCTCCGAATGCTCCTTATACATCCAGAACCTTTTTGTTGGGCGGGCGCTATGGAAACTGCAAGAGAAAGGAAGGTTTTACATCATATCATTAAATTTTCAGAAAGCAAACACTGCTTATGATAAGGCATGGAAGTATTCGAGAACATGGCCACATAGCCCGAAGAACCTACAACAACCTAGTGCAGCGGTTCTCAACCTGGGGGTCGCGATCCCTAGGGGGGTCGTTTGGCCATTTTCGGGGGCTCTCAAAGCTGCCTTTTGGAGGGAATGGGCTGGCCCCATTCTCTCCAAAATGGCTGCCGACCCCCTGAGCCAGTCAAATGGCACTCCTGGCAGGCTCCTCTTCATGCTTCCCACAGACCTGTGGGTAGTCAGGAAGAGGAGCTTTGGAAGCACAGGCACGGGGGAAGAAGACTCACCCTCTGTTCTGGCCTGCAAGGTGAGTCAACTTCTTCCTGCAGTCCTCAACGCCTGGCCATCTGTGGAGCCTTCACTGCCCGGCCTTTGCCTTCTTCCGAGCTCAGAAGGGGGCGAGGGACGGGTTTGGGTCCATTCCATGGTTGCATGAGTTCAGAATACTTTTGGATGGAACTATATATCCCAGCATCTCCCAAATGCCAAGGTCTATTTTCCCCAAGCCTCTCCAGTATTTTCTGTTGATCATGGGTGTTCTCTGCCAAGTTTGAGTCCATTCCATGAATCATAGAATCAAAGAGTTGGAAGAGACCTCATGGGCCATCATCGTCCAACCCCATTCTGCCAAGAAGCAGGAATATTGCATTCAAAGCACCCCTGACAGATGGCCATCCAGCCTCTGTTAAAAGCTTCCAAAGAAGGAGCCTCCACCACACTCCGGGGCAGAGAGTTCCACTGCTGAACGGCTCTCACAGTCAGGAAGTTCTTCCTCATGTTCAGATGGAATCTCCTCTCTTGTAGTCTGAAGCCATTGTTCCATTGCATCCTAGTCTCCAAGGAAGCAGAAAGAAGCTTGCTCCCTCCTCCTCCCTGTGGCTTCCTCTCACATATTTATACATGGCTATCATGTCTCCTCTCAGCCTTCTCTTCTTCAGGCTAAACATGCCCAGCTCCTTAAGCCGCTCCTCATAGGCTTGTTCTCCAGACCCTTGATCATTTTAGTCACCCTCCTCTGGACACATTCCAGCTTGTCAATATCTCTCTTCAATTGTGGTGCCCAGAATTGGACACAATATTCAGAGGCGGCCCTAGGTAAAATAGAGGGGTAGCATTACTCCCTTAGATCTAGACACTATGCTCCTATTGATGCAGGCCAAAATCCCATTGGCTTTTTTTGCCGCCACATCACATTGTTGGCTCATGTTTAACTTGTTGTCCACGAGGACTCCAAGATCTTCTTCACACGTACTGCTCTCGAGCCAGGCATTGTCCCCCATTCTGTATCTTTGCATTTCGTTTTTTCTGCCTAAGTGGAGTATCTTGCATTTGTCACTGCTGAACTTCATTTTGTTAGTTCATATTATTTTGAATTCTGCTCCTGTCCCAGGACGGAACCCTGCGGCACTCCACTTGTCCCTTCTTTCCAAGATGAAGAGGAAGCATTAGTGAGCACTCTCTGTGTTCGTCCACTTAACCAATTACAGATCCACCTCATTGCATGAGTTCAGAATACTTTTGGATGAAACTATATATCCCAGCAGCTCCAAAGGTCTATGTTCCCCAAGTCCAGATCCATAGTCATTTGGGTTCACAGTACTTTCCGGATGTAGGTGAACTACATCTCTCATAAATCACTGGCAAATCCTCCCAACAGTATTTTCTATTGGTCACTGGAGGTCTGTGTGCCAAGTTTGGTCCAGGTCTGCAATTCGTGGGGGGTCTCAGTGGTCTGTGGAAGTCAGGCCTGAATTGGTCGATGATGGTACTGCAAATCCCATCATCCGTTGTCCATACTCCCCCAAACATATTCTTTTTGTGAGTAATCACTATGCTTTAATCATGTTCAATGTGTAAAAATGAAAATACACCCTGCATATTAGATGTTTGCATTAGAATTCATAAGAGTAGCAAAATTATGTATGAAGTAACAACGAAAATATGGTTGGGGGTCACCACAACACCAGGAACTTTATTTAGGGGTCGCCGCATTAGAAACGTTGAGAACCACTGACCTAGTGATTCCAGCCATGAAAGCCTTCAACAATACATGGAAGCCTGGAAGAGGGAGGGGGCCACCAGCCATGCCTTGCCTTGCCTCCCCTCCAGGAAGAAGGAAAAGACCACCAGAGCCACCTCCTCACATTCCCAGGCTCGGTCTGGATAAACCACCCTCAGTGGACGAGGCTCCAGTGCGTACCTGATCATGTGGTTGCCGTAGGCTTTGCTGCAGCTGGTGCTGTAGCGGCACAGGCCGCAGCGCACGTAGGCCGGGAAGTGGTTGGCGAAGGTCCGGATGTCCGAGTTGCACTCAATGCACTTCTGGATGTCCGGGCACCTGGCGGGAGCAAAGGTCAAGGTGAGGAAGTGCTCAGGGATATTTATTATTATTATTATTATTATTATTATTATTATTATTATTAACAACTTTATTTGTACCCCGCTAACATCTCCCGAAGGACTCAATGCGGCTTTCAAAAGCCAAGGCCTCAATACACAACATAACAATACAAAACCTAAAGCAAATTAAAAACAATTAAAACAATAAACAAGCAATAAACAATACACTTTATTGTTTATTTATTTACTAGCCGTCCCCTGTCACATAGGGGATCTGTGTGGGAGGTTTGGCCCAATTCCATCGTTGGTGGGGTTCAGAATGCTCTGTGAGTGTAGGTGAACTATAAATCTCAGCAACTACAACTCCCAAATGTGAAGATTCTATTTTCTAAACTCCACCAGTGTTCACATTTGGGCATATTGAGTATTCTGTGTAGAGTTTGGTCCAGATCCATCATTGTTTGAGTCCACAGTGCTCTCTGGATGTAGGTGAACTACAACTCCAAAACCAAAGGACACTTGCCCACCAAACCCTTCCAGTATTTTCTGTTAGTCATGGGAGAACTGTGTGCCAAGTTTGGTTCAATTCCATTGTTGGTGGAGTTCAGTATGTTCTTTGATTGTAGGTGAACTATAAATCCCAGCAACTACAACTCCCAAATGTCAAGATTCTATTTTCCCAAACTCCACCAGTGTTCACATTTGGGCATATGTGTCCTCATGTAGAGTTTGGTCCAGATCCATCCTTGTTTGAGTCCACAGTGCTCTCTGGATGTAGGTGAACTACAACTTCAAAACCAAAGGACACTGCACACCAAACCCTTCCAGTAATTTCTATTGGTCATGGCAGAACTGTGTGCCAAGTGTGGTTCAATTACATTGTGGCGCAGCTGGCTGAGTGTCAGCTGCATTAAGATCCCTCTGACCAAAAAGGTCATGAGTTCAAAGCCAGCCCGGGTTGGAGTGGGTTTCCAACCAATTGTGTAGCCTGTTGTCGACCTTTGCAACCCGAAAGACAGCTGCATCTGTCAAGTAGGAAAATTAGGTCCCACCTTCAAGTGTGGGGAGGCTAAATTAACTGATTTACGAGGCCATAAAGAAGACTCCAGCAAAGTATTCCAGCGGGGAAGCATGCGGGGAATGCGGAAGGGCTTCATCAGCGTCGCAGATGGATGAGGAAAGCGAGAGCTCCCCTGGCGGCCAGAAAAAAGCAAAATAGCCTCTGTCTATGTCTGTATATGTTGTATGTCAAAAATTGGCACTGAATGTTTTCCATATATGTGTACACTGTAATCTGCCCTGAGTCCCCTGCGGGGGGAGGAGAAGGGCGGAATATAAAAGCTGTACATAAATAAATAAATCCTGGGATTCGTAGTTTGGTGAGGCACCCGCATTCTTGGGCAGAGAAGGCTCAAGACGAAGTACAACTACAGGCCCCATGTCACCATATCACTGGAGCCCCTGGTGGCGCAGTGGGTTCCCCCCAGTGGTTTAAACCCCTGTGCCGGCAGGACTGAAGACTGACAGGTCGCAGGTTCGAATCCGGGGAGAGGCGGATGAGCTCCCTCTATCAGCTCCAGCTCTTCATGCGGGGACATGAGAGAAGCCTCCACAAGGATGATAAAAACATCAAATCATCCAGGCGTCCCCTGGGCAACGTCCTTGCAGACGGCCAATTCTCTCACACCAGAAGCGACTTGCTCCTGACACGACCAAAAAAAAAAAAAAATTAGGATGCACCCCAAGTTTTCCCTTTCCGTTGCTGGAAGCTTTGGTGCCTTAAGACTGTGTTTTGTTACTGCAATGCGGACCTTTCAGGTCCAAATTACAAACACTGTACTTTTTGCCAGTGTGCAAAATAATTTGTTTTGAAAAGTGAAGTGCACATTAGATTTGATGGCGCATGAGACTCGAGAAAATACAGTATTAAAGAGAGAAAAAAAGGAAGAGTTGACAAACCCAGCCAAGGGGCCACAAGGGGCCAAATCCTGACGTTGTGCTGTTTCTCTGATCTCACCGACGTAAAACTCCCAGTCCTGCCACACTCTGGGAAGGCTCATCAATGCTTCCTCTTCATCTTGGAAAGAAGTGACAAGTAGAGTGCCGCAGGGTTCCGTCCTGGGCCCGGTCCTGCTCAGGATCTTCATCAATTACTTAGATGAAGGGCCAGAAGGCAGGATCATCAAGTCTACAGACGACACCAAATTGGGAGGAAGAGCCAAGACTCCTGAGGACAGGAGCAGGATTCAAAGGGATCTTGACAGATTAGAGAGATGATGGGCCAAAACTAACAGAATGAAGTTCAACTGTGACAAATGCAAGAGACTCCACTTAGGCAGAAAAAACGAAATGCAAAGAGACAGAATGGGGGACGATGAGGCCTGGCTCGAGAGCAGGACGTGTGGAAAAGATCTTGGAATCCTCGTGGGGAGGAAGGGGAACAGGAGCCAGGAATGTGATGTGGCGGCAAAGAAATCCAATGGGATTTTGGCCTGCGTTAATAGGAGCCTAGTGTCTAGATCTAGGAAAGTAATGCTACCCCTCTATTCCGCTTTGGTTAGACCACACCTGGAATATTGTGTCCAATTCTGGGCACCACAATTGAAAAGAGATATTGACAAGCTGGAATGTGTCCAGAGGAGGGCGACTCAAATGATCAAGGGTCTGGAGAACAAGCCCTATGAGGAGCGGCTTAAGGAGCTGGGCATGTTTAGCCTGAAGAAGAGAAGGCTGAGAGGAGACATGAGAGCCATGTATAAATACGTGAGAGAAAGCCACAGGGAAGAGGAGGGAGCAAGCTTGTTTTCTGCTTCCTTGGAGACTAGGACGCAATGGAACAATAGCGTCAAACTACAAGAGAGGAGATTCCATCTGAACATGAGGAAGAACTTCCTGACTGTGAGAGTCGTTCAGCAGTGGAACTCTCTGCCCCGGAGTGTGGTGGAGGCTCCTTCTTTGGAGGCTTTTAAACAGAGGCTGGATGGCCATCTGTCAGGGGTGATTTGAATGCAATATTCCTGCTTCTTGGCAGAATGGGGGTGGACTGGATGGCCCAGGAGGTCTCTTCCCACTCGAGGATTCTAGGATTCTATGATTCCTCACCTGAGATGGCTGGATGGCCATCTGTCAGAGGTGCTTTGAATGCAACTTTCCTGCTTCTTGGCGGTGGACTGGATGGTGGCCCAGGAGGTCTCTTCCAACTCTTTGATTCTAGGACAGGGGTAGGGAACCTTTGGCCCTCCAGCTGTGGTGGACTTCAACTCCCACAATTCCTTGAGGCTCGGCATTGGGCCAAGGTAAGCCTTTGGGGCGAATGCCGAGCCTCAAGGAATTGTGGGAGTTGAAGTCCACCACAGCTGGAGGGCCAAAGGTTCCCTACCCCTGTTCTAGGATATGATGATTCTAGGATTCCTCACCTGAGATGGCTGAGTCCGGTGTTGGCGATCTTGCCGCTGTTGTTCTTCTTGCTGCCGCCTCCGTTGCTGCTGCTGCTGCTGGCGCTGCTGCTGCTGTTGGCCAAGCTCTCCTTCCGCTGGAAGCTCGAGGGCTTGGGCTTGGAGCGGGTCTTGCTGGTGTTCAGCCTGTTCTGGGGGCTCAAAGGGGGGGATGCGACGTGGGACCCTAGCGGGGGAGACAGCTGCAGAACGGAGGTATTGGCGCTCACGAAGGAAGCGGACGGAGACACCGGCTGAAGGGAGCCAGCCGAGGCCCGGATGGTCACCTAGGGAGGCAAAGCCCAGCACAGGTAAGCTCTCCCAGCCTGTGTTTCCCACAGAAGGAAGGGTTTCCATGCGACACGTGGTGCTTACTTACTTTGGTTCCGGGAGGCAAGCCTTCCAACTGAGCAGGTTTCTTAAAGGTGCGGTGATGCTGGGATTTATGCTCCAGTTTTTCTTTGCTGGTCAGGAACTGAAGCCGGCACTTGGTGCAGCGGTGCACCCCCTTTTTCTGCAAGAAGGTTTGCAATTCCATTATTGATCAAAATATTTTTTAAAGTAAATTTTTATTAATCAGTTTAAAATATAAATGCATGGAAAGAGGGGGAATATTCAGAGAGTAGAAAAGTAGGAAATACAGTCAGTAAAGGCCACTACCAAGAGAGAAGAAGAAAAAAACCCAAAATACAAAAATCAAATAAAATGACTTCTATTCCGATCTCAGGATCTTATCTTTTATTTCACTATTATTAACTTCTTCTTTGTTTCTTTCTCTTTTCTATTCTTTTCATAGTCATAAAAAAGAACCCAGTCTGTCTTTTTTATAGATTTAAAATAATATAAATGGGTTACTGAATGAAGTGCATACAACAAAAGGTTGAATAGCTAGCCATCTGTCCGAGAGATGATTTCCACTCCGGTGGGAAGCTTCCCATCAAGAAGGTGAAGTATCATAGCAATGAAGATGGAGAATAGAGTTGGGGCAAGAACACATCCCTGTTTGACACCCGATTCCACTTTAAATGGGTCACTTTGGGAGCCACTGCGCATTCAGAAGAAGATCTACAAGCCAGCTCTAATAAAGTGCTTCTGGGACGTAGTACTGGAGGTTATCCTATTCCGGAAAGGTACATCGGAATAGCCAGGTCTTCAAGTTCTTCCTAAAGACTGCCAACGTGGTTGCTAGTCTAATGTCTTTGGGGAGGGTGTTCCAAAGTCGGGGGGCAACCACAGAGAAGGCCCTGTCCCTCGTCCCCACCAAACGCGCCTGCGACGCAGGTGGAATCGTGAGCAGGGCCTCTCTGGATGAACGGAGGGAGCGCGTGGGTACATAAACGGAGATGCGGTCACGCAGGTAGGCAGGTCCCAAACCGTACAGGGCTTTGTAGGTGAGCACCTGCACCTTGAATTGGGCTCGGTAGGTAAACGGCAGCCAATGGAGCTCCTTAAACAGGAGGGTTGACCTCTCTGTAAGGAGCCCCAGTTAACATCCTGGCCGCCGCCCATTGAACCAGTTGGAATTTCCGAGCCGTTTTCAAGGGCAGCCCCACGTAGAGCACATTACAGTAATCCAACCTAGAGGTGACTAAGGCATGGACCACCCTGGCCAAATCAGCATTTGCGAGGTACGGTCGCAGCTGGCGCACAAGTCTTAGCTGTGCAAAAGCCCTCCCGGCCACCGCCGACGCCTGAGCCTCCAGCGTAAGTGATGAATCCAAGAGGACTCCCAAACGGCGGACCTGGGACTTCAGGGGGAGTGTGACCCCGTCCAGCACAGGTTGCCACCCTATACCCCGGTCCGGCTTACGATTGACCAGGAGGACCTCTGTCTTGTCGGGATTGATCTTCAGCTTGTTCTTCCTCATCCAGACAGCCACAGCGGCCAGGCACTCGTCCAGCACCTGAGGGGCTTCCTTGGACTTCGGTGGAAAGGAGTAGTAGAGTTGTGTGTACAAATATATGCGAATGTAGGGAGCAGAGTGGAAACAGACAATATAGTAATGCAATTGTATTGGGTTCTTCATTGCATTGGTATCTTCATTAGCAGCTCTTGCTGAGCAGTAATAACTCAGGGCAAATAAAGATCAACCTCCAAGACGCCTTGTGAGTGGATTTGCTGAAGGGGTTTTGCAGAGCGCTGCGCTGCTTACCTGGTGCCGCATGAAGTGGTGCATGTAGGGCGCCCCAATCTTAATGACCTTAAGACAAAACGGGCAGAGCAGGTTCTTTGTGTTCTCGTGGACGGCCCTGAAGTGCTTGTCCACATCCGAAAACACCGACGATCTGTAACTGCACACCTAGAAACACGTGAAGGAGGAAGGAAGGTTTGAAGCGGAAGTGTCGCTCTGCCAATACACAGATTCACACACACGCGTGTTTCCAGGTACCTGGCAGACGTAGGGCATCTCTCCCGGCTTGTGATTGTCCTTCATGTGCTGCAAAAGGATCTGCTCTGTTTCAAAGGACAGCTCACAGATTTTGCAGATGGCTGGGAGAAAGGAGAAAAAATGGCAGAAAAGGGGGGGAAATAATCATTTTGCAGGAACAAAGGCTTTGCACATTTATTGTATATCTTAACTTACTGTATATACTCCCTCGGATTATACTCAGGTTGAGATTATTTATTGTTTTACTCTGTTATTAGTATTATTTTATTACCTTTATTATTTTACTCTGTTATTATTGCATTTATTATTTTTCTCTATTTATTACTGTTTATATTACATTTATTATATTTCTCTATTTATTATTATTATTATTATTATTATTATTATTATTTCATATATTATTTTACTCCCTTAATTATTATGGGAAGGATAGGTGAGCACATTTACATAGAAGAAGGTGAGAATCATGGCTTAATTGGAGTTGGACAGTCTTATCTTAAATTACGGTTTTATGTAAATATCCAAAAGCATTTAACCTACTGAAGCCTCAATTAATGTACCGTATATATTTGAGTATAAGCCGACCCGAATATAAGCTGACCCACCAAATTTTACCACAAAAAACTGGGAAAGTGTATTGACTCAAGTATAAGCCGAGGGTGGGAAATGCAGGAGCTACCAGTAATTTCAAAATAAAAATAGATACCAATAAATTATATTAACTTAGGCATTCGTAGGTTAAATGTTTTTGAATATTCACATAAAACTGTAATTCACGATAAGACTGTCCAACTCTGATTAAACCATTATTCAAACCTTCTTCAATGTAAATATGCTACATGTCCTCCAATAATAATAAATAGAGTAAAATAATAAATGTAATAGTAACAGCAATAATAAAATAATAAATGTAACAATAATAATAATAATAAGAAGAAGAAGAAGAAAGTAAAATAATAAATAACATTGACTCGAGTATAAGCCGAGGGAGACTTTTTCAGCCTAAAAAAAGGACTGAAAAACTAGGCTTATACTCAAGTATATACAGTAATTCTGTTGGTATCCATTTTTATTTTGCATTTCCCACCCTCGGCTTATACTCAAGTCAATACATTTTCCCAGTTTTTTGTGGTAAAATTAGATGCCTCGGCTTATATTCGAGTATATACGGTATATCAATTCACAAATATTTTTTTAAAAATTGTATTTTCCATTATTTTAAATTTGCATTCGGTGTGTCATGAGTGTTATCTGCCTTGAGTCCCTATGGGGAGAAAAGCAGGGCGGAAGTGTAGATGACAAAAATAATAAATGTATTATCCGCCCCCGTTTTGTGGCTCAAGGAGAAGCGCCACCAGGTCAAGAGTCCTGTTTCCATTATTTCTTGGTCCTGAGCACACAAGAGTGTGTCCCCAACCCACTCCCAACTCACTGGAGCACTCGTGGGGCGTGTGGGTGGTCTCGATGTGGCACTGGAGCTGGAAGGGAGTGGGGAACTGCCGGAAGCAGTGCTGGCAGGTGGTGTGGCTCTCCCAGCTCTCGCTGTTCTGCTTCTCCAGCTCCAGGTGGTGCTTCATGTGGTTCATGAACCTGAGCAGAAAAAAGGAAGGAAGGAAGGAAGGAAGGAAGGAAGGAAGGAAGGAAGGAAGGAAGGAAGGACATCGTCATTACAAGAGGCCCGGAACCCACCAAGTCCAGAACATGTCAGGATTAATTTAGTTATGTACTAGCTGTCCCCTGCCACGGGTTGCTGTGGCCCAGTCTGTTGATCTGGAAAATAAAGTAATGAGAAAGTGTTGGTTTCTAATCTATGTAATTTCTTTCTGCTTCTGGGTAAACAGTATTTCTTGTTGTTTCTTTGTCAGTGTTGATGTGGAGAGTGTCTAGTTTGCCAACTCTGGAACATGCAACACATAATTGTCCTTCTTTAGGGGTCCCTTTCAAATCTATGATACAATATCTCTGTGTGTTTGAATCATATTTATCTATCTATATCTATGGCTGGGTGGTCCTATCTGGGAAGGACTTTGATTATCTTTTCTTGCCCTGGTGAAGGGAGTTGGATTGGGTGGCCTTACGTATTATCTGTTGGTCATGGGGGTTCTGTGTGGAAGGTTTGCCCCAATTCTGTCATTGGTGGGGTTCACAATGCTCCTTGATTGAAGGTGAACTATAAATCCCAGTAACTACAACTCCCAAATGTCAAGGTCTATTTTCCCCAGACTCCATCTGTGTTCATATTTGGGCATATTGAGTATTTGTGCCAAGTTTGGTCCAGATCCATCATTGTTTTGGTCACAGTGCTCTGGATGTGGTGAACTACAACTCCCAAACTCAAGGTCAATGCCCACTAAACCCTTCCAGTATTTTCTGTTGGTCATGGGGGTTTTGTGTGGGAAGATTGGCCCAATTCTATCATTGGTGGAGTTCAGAATGCTCTTTGATTGTAGGTGAACTATACATCCCAGCAACTACAATTCCCAAATGACAAAATCATATTTTTTGAGTGATGGTCACTCCTTGTGTTGTGAGATGTTTTGTTGCCAAATTTGGTGTGATTTTATTCATTTGTTCTTTTGTTTTTAAGGTACTCATTATGCACGGAGCATTTATATATATATATAGATGTGTTTTAAATGTGCTTCTATGTATTTCCAAGATGGATTCCATTGTGTATTAGAAATTCTGTGCGGAATGTTTCTTCCATGAGGCTGGGATTATGTGACCTTGAGGGAAGATAATGTTTGCTCTTGCTGGGAACAGAAGGGAGTAACCAGTCTCAGCAAGAAGAGATTAGCAGATGTGAAGAGACTTTCGTTTTGACTGGTTTTTAATTGTAGCTCGCTGTAGTAAGACGTGTAAGGAAAAATAGAGGGTCTTTTATTACATGTGACGGGGGGGAACCTTTATTTTCAATCCCACCGCTGCCACCACTGTAAAAAAAAAAATCCAGTCATTCATCCGATAGCGAATGGTGATACTTGTTTTTATTAATTATAATTATTTATTAATTATAATTATTTATTAATTAGAATTATAAGCCAAATGTGATGTTATTAATTCTTAATTGTTGTATTTCATCGTTCTACTTTCGCTTGACTTAGCCGATGGTTTGTTGACCAAAATAAAGGCTACTGACTGACTGGAAAAAAAATATACGAGGGAATTACAGGAGATGAAAGAGAACGGTGTGTGTGTAATGGTAGGTTTGCTGCCACCACCCCAAATTACAGTTTGAGGAATTGTCTTGTTGTTGTACTTGAGGTCAAATGTCCCTATACACCGGCTCTTCCTTTTGGCTCCCTTTCTGGTGACCGAACTGTAGAGATGTGGAGGCTTACTGGATCTAACCTTATATGATGGAACAAGGCTGAGGCAGATTAACAGTAAACTAGAGAACTGGTTTATTGAAGTATTTGAAGCAAACAACTACTGACTACTGAGAGGTACAAACGCGTAGTTTGCTTCTGAAGCACAGACTTATTAAGCAAATGGTTTCTTTAGAAGGAGTAACTTTTCCTTAACGTGAGCTACTTTCCTCACACTATCCTGTCATATGTAACAGTGCATTTCTTTGACCAGCCGCCCCTGGCTGCCTTCCAGAGTATCGAGGTTTCCCCTGGACTACTCTGAACTTTAGGGAAATAAACCCACTTGTATTCCATCCTAACACAAGTAAACAAGCCTTCACTTTGACTGCCCTAGTCAAAGTATACAGAAGCACTTGCTCTTTAATTATTCCCTAACAGGCTAATTCCTAGCTCACTAACTAAGAAACTCTCTTCTCCCTGTCTGAAATCCTAATCTTTTCTCTGCTAGATCCAGTCCTTCTCTCTCCCTCTTCTGTCAGAAATGACAGCCTATTTACACTCTCCTTCAACTCCTCCCCTTGGGGTCTGAACCAATCAGGAGTTAGCTGACTCCTCCCCTTGCCTCTCTGCCTATACCATCATGTCTGCCATCCTGAGCTGCCTTCCCAACATGGAGGCCAGCTCACTGACTCCCAGGCTGTGGCCTACGAAGAAAATGTATGAGTTCATTACAAATGTGCTTAGTAAAACTTAAGTTTCTTTTGTAACTCAAAGCCTGCAGAGTCCTTATTTTGCATCACAGTGTCTGTTGATCTAGCAATCCTTCCGCTGTGTGCTGCCTAACTCTGACAGAACATACGGCTTGAAGGTGCGACGTTAGGAACATATTTGTCCCTCTCAAGCTGATGGGTCCCCGGAACCTCTTGTGTGACGGATTTGATCCCAAAAAGCCTCAAACTGAGGAAAAAGGTCCTGAGAGCATCTTTCTTCAGTCATTTCAAATCAAAAAGTAGAAACTGGATCTTCGAGATTACCTTATTTACTGAATTGTAAGATGCACCCTAATTACCAATAAGAGACACCTGCGATACTCAGTTGCGAAACACGGTGCTGACTGTCACATTATTCCCTTGTAAAGTACTTTAAGGGTTTTGTAGAGGGCTAATCATTTATTTATTTATTAATTTTATTATCTATATAAATAAAAATGTAATGTTCATTTGTGGGATTAACAGAACTCAAAAACCACTGGGGGAATTGACACCAAATTTGGACACAAGACACCTAACAACTCAATGTATGTCCTCCACTAAAAAAAAAATGAATTTGTCATTTGGGAGTTGTAGTTGCTGGGATTTATAGTTCACCTACAATCACAGAGCATTCTGAACCCCACCAAGGATGGAATTGAACCAAACTTAGCACACAGTTCCCCCATGACCAGCAGAAAATACTGGAATGGTTTGGTGGGCAGTATCCTATGGTTTTGGAGTTGTAGTTCACCTACATCCAGAGATCACTGTGGACTCAAACAATGAGGGGTCTGGACCAAACTTTACAAGAATACTCAATTATGGTGGAGTTTGGGGAAAATAGAATCTTGACATTTGGGAGTTGTAGTTGCTGGGATTTATAGTTCACCTACAATCACAGAGCATTCTGAACCACACCAATGATAGAATTGGGCCAAACTTGGCACACAGGACCCCCATGACCAACATAAAACACTGTGTTTTCTACTGGTCTTCGGTGACCCCTCTGGCATCCCGTTAGGGGTCCTGATCCCCAGGTTGAGAAACACTGTATTAGTGCCAAATCTCCCACACAGAACCCCCATGTGGGCCACAGCAACGCATGGCAGGGGACGGCTACTTTACCATATTTATATACAGCCTCTCTCAGCCTGAAGGCGATTCGGGGTGGTTTACAATCGACAATCAATGCCAGCAACAACATAAAACATAATTTAAAACATTAACGTATAATATAGACCATATAAAAGCAGTAGAAACAATAAAAGCCATAAAACACAATGACAGGGGCTGAAGGGGGAGAAGGGGGGGGGGTTGGAAAAACCCTGCAGGAGGGGAGGCCCACCTGACATTGCTCTTGAGGTGCTTCATGCAACTGGCGCACTTGAAGGTGGTGTGGGTCTTCTGCTCCTGGCGCACCTGCTGCACGTTCCCCTCGTGCTGCCCGTAGTAGAAGTCGTTCACCAGCATGATCAGCTTCCCGGGCTCCGACTCCATGGCCCTGGTCCAGGGCCCCAAGCTTTCTGCCGCACCCAGGAAGGAGGGCACCATCTCCGGGCAGCAATACTGAGAGAAAGAAGGGAGGGAGGGAGGGAGGAAAGGAGAGTGGCTCTCACTTTCACGGCTCACAAAAGGAATGTAACCTCATGCGAAGGTGCCACAAGGCTCAGCCCTATATTCGCCCAGAAGTTCAGCAATCCCTTTGTAAACAGGCTGGATGTCAAAGAGGAACCTCTCCAGTGTGACCCTTAACCTTTTCCTTGCTGGCACAAACAAATCCCAACTAGTTAATGGGTGACACCCAAAAGGAGGTGGCAAACCCAAATCCCTGTTTCTCTCATTACAAGCGATCCAACGAAGCTCTGTTGAACCGGTTGCAACCCAGAGCAGGAAACGAGACCATAAGATAACAATCCACCACACTTGACTGTGGGGAAAAACAATCCCTTTTAATTGGTGAAAAATGGTTACAAAATAGAGGAAAATACAAAGTCAAAAAGCCACAGTAAAATTCAGCAGTCAGGAAAATCCATGAATTAGATCCAAATCCAAAAGCAACACTGCAAAAACCTGGAACCTGCTAGCAAACCACTAACCGTACTTGGAGCACTAGAAGCCTCTTGGGATGTAGGCCATGGGAAACAGGGAAATCTGCCAAGGTAATGCCTCAGTCTAAACGATGCCTGATCTAATGAGACAACCTGGCGAGAGGCACTTAAAGCTGAAGAAACTGTTTCGTGACACGCCTCCAGGTTTTGAAGCCTGTGTTTCCTTCTCCCTTGATCTGCTTGACCTTCGCAGACTCTGCGATTCACTCCCGTTTTTCCAAATCTGTCCTTTTCTATCCTCATCAAGGAACCCAGGTGTTAGCTCCTCTGGAGAGCTATCACCACTTGGCTCTGCAACATTCTCATCAGAATGTGTAGTTTCACTTTCCAAGCCACTGACCTCAGAATCATTTTCATTACCATCAGGGAGAAATACATTTTCAGTAGCATCAGGAAATACAATCAGAGAATCAGGTTCACACGCAGGCTGAACACCAACAGCACCTCAGAGTAGAGTCACCTTGCTGAAGAACACCAAACTGCACACAGCCAGTCGTCTTTATGGTTTATTAAAAATAAAAGGTAAACAAGTTCTTAAAAGCAAAGGTTAATGTTTCAAAAGATCAATATAACAAAGCACTTGAAGCTTAATCCAAAAAGGCATCAGCAGAGCAAAACCCAAGAGAACATGACAGAGTCCTGGAACCATGAACAACAAAACTGCAAGATAATCCAGCCTAGCTTAGGCAAGCTCCTTAGGTAAACGCGAAGTTGCTTTGACAAAGATCTGGTCTCAAACACACTGTTTAATACCCTTTGCAAAACATGAAGGCATTTCTCTGGCCTCTGGCCTCCCTCTTGTTAGCTATTCTTTCACTCCTTCGCATTCAGAATTCCAACTGGTCAGCCCAATCTAAAGTCCCCATGTCGTCAAGGTCAGTCTGTTCGTTAGCCTGTTTCCCAGCTTGCTCATTATCAGGCTGAGAACCAAGCTGAGAGCTATCTTCCTTCTCTGAGTCAGACTGCACCTGGCTATTTTCAGTATCAACACTCTCATGTCTTACTGTGGGAAATTGCATTTCTTCACTGTCTATATTATCACGGGGTGTCTGCGCCCTACACCACTGGAGAAAATACACTGCTTAGCCGGTATTGCACCACCTGACATCCGCCAGGAAGTCGCAGCCAATAGTGAAAGGACCAAGGCAGAGACATCTCCAGCTCATCCCGTTTGGGTATCAGCCAGCACATCAACGACTTAAATCAAGAAATAGTTTTCTAAGATCTACAGAGACACTCGCTGGAACACCCCAGCAAGCGAAAGCCCAGAAGTGGCAGGCCCAAACCCAGCACCTCAATCCATGGGTGATACCAGATGAGACTCCCCCCTGGGCACACAGAAGACGGGGCGACTTGGAAGGCGCTGAACAGACTGCGCTCTGGCACCACGAGATGCAGAGCCAACCTCCAGAAATGGGGCCACAAAGTGGAATCCACGACATGCGAGTGCGGAGAAGAGCCAACCACTGACCACCTGCTGCAATGCAACCTGAGCCCTGCCACATGCACAAGGGAAGACCTTCTTGTGGCAACACCAGAGGCACTCCAAGTGGCCAGATACTAGTCAAAGGACATTTAATCAACTACCAAGCTTGCAAATTCTGTGTTTTGTCTGTCTGTTTGTTTTTGTTAAAAATGTTATACAAATGTTTGGTTGCTGGTGACACGATAAATAAATAAATAAGCTCTTAAATTACAGAACGACCGGCATTAACTGATTTATGAGGCCATAAAGAAGACTCCAGCAAAGCATTCCAGAGGGGAAGCATGCGGGGAATGCGGAAGTGCTTCATCAGCGTCACAGATGGATGAGGAAAGCGACAGCTCCCCTGGCGGCCAGAAAAAGTTAAATAGCCTGTGTATGTCTGTATATGTTTGTATGTCAAAAATTGGCACTGAATGTTTGCCATATATGTGTACACTGTAATCCACCCTGAGTCCCCTGCGGGGTGAGGAGAAGGGCGGAATAGAAAAGCTGTAAATAAATAAATAAGTATTTTGACAGTCCCCATTCTTGTGATATTTACCTTTATGTGGTTTTTTAATGGCTCCAAAAGATTGAAATGAATATTGCACTTTGGACAGGCCTGCGGGAAAGGTGCACCATTCTTCATGTTTGCAGACAGAACACCTTCAAATGGAAAAAGGAAAGCGTGAGGACTTCCTATCTGTCACTTGACCAGATGCTCTTTCCAAAGGCACCTGGCGTTAACACATAAGGATCCTCAAACAAAACACCAAACAAACCAACAGGAGAAAAATACAGGGGCATTTTTTTTCACATTTTAGGTCTAGGAGAGGCATTAGAACACAAACAAAGCAGGAAGGGCAAACCAGGAAGTGACCCTTACCTTTCTGAAAGAGGTCATTGGGAGACTGGACTGAAATCAACTCAGGGGAATCCCCTCCGTCTCCCATGTCGTTCCCCTTGGTCTTTTTGGGAAGGATACTGTCGGCTTCGGAAGTAGAGGGACGCTTGGACAAGCCTGCAAATAGAGTCAAGCGCCTCTGGTTTTTATAAGCCCCATCAGCTGCTTTGTGGCCCCAAAAATCCAAGTCGGTCTTTGCTTGCTCCCTTCTGCAGGGCCTTACTCTAACTCCGTAGACCCCCTCAAAGTAAGGCCCAAGGGATGGATACAGCCCTCCAAGGACATTTACCCAGTCCTCGCTCAGGGTCAACCTAAGTCTGAAACTACTTGAAAGCACACAACAACAACAACAACAACAATCCTATCTCATCAGCCAAAAGCAGGCCCACACTTTCCATTGAAATACCAATAAGTTTATATTTGTTAAAATTGTTCTCCATTTTAATTATTGTACAGTTTTTAAGTGTTTTTTGCACTACAAATAAAATATGTGCAGTGTGCATAGGAATTCATTCATGTTTTTTTTCTCCAAATTACGATCTGGCCCTCCAACAGTTTGTGAGACTCTGACCTGGCCTTCTGTTTAAAACGTTTAAGGACCCCTGCCGTAGACTGTTTCCCGTTTTCCCTTCCAAGGCAAAAGGGCACACGGTACATAGGCGCCTTTCCAGTGACTTCTCAGGATCATAAAAATACCAAGAAGGTACTGAACTGTTAAGGAACTCTGGAAAGGCAAGGAATCGCTTTGGTTTGGACAGTTTGAGAAGAAAAGGAGGATACAACAGAAACCAGACCAGGAACTATAATGATTCGATACTACACACTATCTTTCAACAAAATCTTCCACTTGCTTAGCTTTTTAGAAATTGTTTGGGGGCTGAAAATTAGGGAACCACTTCATAATTCTAGGAGAAAATACTTCATAATCTGTTTTCCCTTGGAAAACTTGAATGAAGGTTTCCTTCTCTGTATCAGTCCTACTTGCCCTGAAAACAGGTTCGAATTGGCCTGGTAATACATTAAATGGTTTTCTTCCTCTCTCAGGCACACATCTATATAAATAAAAATGTCATGTTCGTTTGTGGTATTCACAGAAATAAAAAAACCCTGGATGAATTGGCACCAAATTTGAACACGATACACCTAACAACCCAATGTATGTTCTCCACTCAAAAAAACCATGAAAACAAATAGCAGAAAGGACTTCTGAACTACATGTCCACAAAGGAGAAACTGAGGAGCCAGGCACGCATGCATCCTCCCCCCACCACACACACACACACACACACACACACACACACACACACAGGCAAGAGTAGGCCACATGGAGCCCCTTCTCTTTCCCTGCCATGCCAGGAGGGCGATCTCCTCCTCTTTCTGTAGACCCTTCTTTCTTTTTTAACTCTTTCCTTTCTGTCTGACCTGTTCGCCTGTCTCCGGCAACACAAGCACATATTTAACACACACACACACATACAGGAGGTAGCTGCCTCTGCCACACTCCACCCAAAAGGACTCCCTTCCCTTCTTTCCTCCCTCCCTTTCTTTCCTTTTCTTCCTTCCTTCCCCTTCCTTTCCTCCCCTCCTCCTTCCTTCTTGTCCCTCCCTCCTTCCTTCTCCTTCCTTTCCTTCCTTCCTGTCCCTTTCTTCTTCCTTTCCTTTCCTTTCATCCCTCCCTTTCTTTTTCCTTTTTCCTTCTTCTTTCCTTCCACCCACCTTTCTTCACCACCTCCATCCTTCCTTCCTTCCTTCCTTCCTGTCCCTCCTTCTTTCTTTTCCTTCCCTTCTTTCCCTCCTTCCTTCCTTCTTCCTTTCCCTCTTTCTATGTAAGATATAAATACAATTTTTATATATTGTTATATAGATTACTATATAATATGTCACACACACACACACACACACATATATAATACAAATTAAATTGAAGGGACAGTCAAGAAGTAACGAGGGAAAGAAGGACGGAGACAAGGAGGGAGGGAAAAGAGAAAGGAAAGGAAGAAAGATAGAGAAGCAAGGAAGGAGAGAAGGAAATAAAAAGTGAAAGGAAAAAGAGAGGGAAAGAAGGAGAGAAGGAACGAAAGACTGGGAAGGAAGGAAGGATGCAAACAAAGAGCAAAGAAGGGGGAAAAAAACAGGTAGAGATGGAAGAAGGAAGAGAAATAGGAAGGGAAAGAAATAGAGGAAAGGAAGGAAAGAAAGAGGGAGGGAAGTTTGGCCATAGCAACGCGTGGCGGGTTCAGCTAGTTCTTGTCCATTACGAAGGATGGAAACGTTTTCAAGCATACCTGTCAAATTCACCATGGATCCACCCTGGCATTGCAGTTCTCCTGAATTCAGCCTCAAGCCAAAGCCAAGGCCAGAAGTGTTATTTGGTGTAACCTGTGGAGAAAGGGGTCTTTTGCTCAGGGTTATCTTTTTCTGTAAAGCCTTCTACTTCCAAAAGCTAAATGCAGAGTTTTCAGTACAACTTTGATTATAATTATGGGCATGCCTGCTTTGTTTCATGAAAGGAAAGAAACACTCCAGCAAATTCACTACATCATTCTGCTCCCACATACCAAGAAATCATTTCTTTCCCTTGCTTTGTATTTTTTCCTAGAGGAAACTCCCAAACTGACTATATCCTGGCCTGCAATTGCACTTGTTGCCACAATCCTTGAGTCCAGTACTCTGACCCTAATGTGCGGATGGCACTGTTACTACTATAGGCCCTGAACAATTTTTTAATTTTTTTGTTGTTGTATAATACATAGAAACATACCATCTTTGAAATTAACATTCAAAATGCCAGTATTTTCCCCAACCCCACCCAGGAACAGTTAAGTACTTTTCCTGTGTTTATTACAATTGTTCAATCATGAGAATAGTCTTATTTAACACCGTATATGTATCTTTCCCCTTTATTCTGTATATGAAACCCTTCCATTTTGCTTCCCAGGTCCTTCTGCTTATAATAACTTTACCTTTCGCTAATATAATCTTGGAGAAGGTAATCGGCTAGATATTTATACCAAGTTTTTATATCCCAGTTCTTGTGGTCCTTCCAGCCCTGGGCCACTGAGGCTTTGATTGCCTCTATCATGTGTTTTATTATTTCCTAATATCTTTATATTCCCCTTTACTTTCCAATTTCTAGGTGAAAAATTGAGTCTTGTTCCATTCTATATTTACCCCTAATAGCTCCTCCATTTCCTTCCTGATTATTTCTTGGAACTTTTGGATTTTTTCGCATTCCCACCACATGTGGGCGTATGTTCCTATTTTTCCGCAATTGTGCCAACATAATGTTGGGCCCGTTTTCATAATATGCGCCAGTTGCACGGGAGTTCTGTATCATTTTGTCAGTATTTTCCGTTGCATTTCTTTAATCTTTAGGTGCTTTATTTTATTGATTGAATTCATCCAATTGCCTATTTCTCTCTCACTGCAACTTAATTCCTCCTTCCAGACTTCTATTACGGTAGATTTTGTATAATATTGTATTTCTGTGATTATTTTATATATAAATCCCATGATTCCTTTCTTCTTCTCAACTTTCCATTTTATTATTTTGTCAAAATTTGTTTCTGGTTTCCTTAGTCTTCAATTCTGTTAGTTTTTTAGACAGCCCTCCCCATTGTAACCAACTTCCAAGCCCACATCTACCGTATATACTCGAGTATAAGCCGACCCAAATATAAGCCGACACACCAAATTTTACCACAAAAAACTGGGAAAATGTATTGACTCGCGTATAAGCCAAGGGTGGAAATGCAACTGCTACTGGTAAATTTCAAAATAAAAATAGATACCAATACAGTTACATTAATTGAGACATCAGCAGGCTAAATGTTTTCGAATATTTACATAAAAGTGCAATTTAAGATAAGGCTGCCCAACTCTGATTAAATCATTATTCTAACCTTCAATGTAAATTTGCTTGCATATCCTTCTAATAAAAATAGAGTAATACAATAAATGTAATAATAATAACAATAATAATAGAGTAAAAATGGAAATGTAATAATAACAGTAATAATAGAGGAAAATAATAAATGTAATAACAACAATAATAGAGTGAAATAATATATAAATAATGACAACAATAATAAAGTAAAACGATCAATGTAACAATATATATTTATGGGTTGTAGGTTTTTCCGGGCTATATGGCCATGTTTATTTATATATTTATTATGTATTTCTAACGGTAAAATAAGAAATAACTTTGACTCGAGTATAAGCCAAGGGAGACATTTTTAAGACCTAAAAAAGGGCTAAAAAACTAGGCTTATACTCAAGTATATACAGTATCTTTTATTTCCTCCCATTGAATTACAGTCCCATCTGGTTTTAGTAAGTCCTCAATCTTTGTTATTCCGTTCTGTTCCAGTTTCTTTAGCATATTGCAATATGGCTGGGGTTTTCTGTTGTCTATGGAACCTATGCGGGAGGTTGTCTATTTTATTTAGTGGGAGTTTGTTTTGCCATTTTCCCCAACAGGTCGTTGTTGATAAAAGGGGGGCTACTTTTACGTTTTTTAGTTCTTTTCCCCCAATTTTCCCCATAATGCAAGATCCATATTCCCACCCGTTTGTTAATTTCTCTATCCTAACCCATCTTTTGGGCTCTCCAATATCTAATTCTAGTAACCTAGCCAGTTGACAGGCTTCATAGTAATTCTGGAGGCAAGTATAGACCCTGAACAATGAGCTAGAGCCCTCCACACCCTCTTGGAGCAAGGCAGAAGGGTCAAGCGCCTACCCGGCTTAAGGTGATTGGCTGTGCGGTGACTGTGGCCACAGGTCTGGAGGCCGGCTGGGCCAGCCCCGGCAAGCTGAGATTCCTGCAGAGGGAGGGAGAGCGGCTGATGGGCTGGGAGAGGCCAGCACTGGCCTTGGCCGCTTCCTGAGGTCCGGAGCACCCGGAGAGGGGCCGCTGCAAGGCCAAAGGGGTCCCAGGCGCGCTGCTGCTGACCCGCGGCTGTGGCTGGACAGCCAATGTGCTGGTGGCTGGTCTGGTCGCGGGCTGGAACCCTGCAAAGACAGGTATGTGGCACTCACAAGGTGGGGACCCTGTCAGGTCTGACACCTGCCCCACAACACTTCCATCCACGTCCATTACCTCTTTTGGCGGCCCCATTCTGAATCCCAATCCGCGGGGAACTGGGGTTAACCCTGTTCAATATATCTGAAGACAAAGGAAACTAATGACAGCATTACCTCACCATGAAATTACACCAATTCCTGAGTAAGCCCCCCAAACATTTGGCATTCTTTACCTAAGAACAGCTGTCAGACCCCTTTAAATAAATTCAACAACAAGCTAATAAGCCAATTCAATAAAAAATAAATATTAGCTGTAATTCTGATCCTATTATGGAGGTATGACCCACTGAGTTATATAGGACTGACTGAGGAACGGTAAGGAATCCCTGAATTATGGTAACTCTCTTTGGTCTTATGACTTTATGAGGCAAAGCACAGAAGAACACAATATTAATAATTTGTAATATCATTAATAATATGATATTATAATTATATATTTATATTACATGTAATATGCTAAAACACAAAAGAGACATGTACAAGAAGTGGAAAAAGGGAGAAATCACCAAAGAATAATACTACAATATAATGGTATAGTACAATATAATAATATTTAATACTGATATTGTACTATACTAATATCATAATATATTGTATGTATATATATCTTGTAAGCCGCTCTGAGTCCCCCTCGGGGTGAGAAGGGCAGCATATAAATGTCGTAAATAATTAATTAATAAATAAACATTAGTAGAAGAGAGCAAAATAATCCTTTCTTGTTTCAAGCTATCAGTAGACACTTCTAAAAGGAACCAAATAAAGGAAACCAATAAAGGAATTGTCGTGATGCAATAGTACACAGTCTTACACAAAGGTCTTCCTCAACATCTAAAACTAAGAAGTTTTTGGGGAAAAATGGAAACAATATTTAAAATACCACTCCGAGTGTTAATGGAAGTATTAGGAAATAATAATATTAATACAAAAGAACAAGAACTGTTAAAATTATTATTCTAGCAGAACAAGCAGTGCTAGCATGGTGATGGAAAGATGAATAATAATAATAATAATAATAATAATAATAATAATACTTTATTTGTACCCCGCTACCATCTCCCGAGGGACTCGGTGTGGCTTACATGAGGTCGAGCCCAGAATACAGCAATAACAATAACAGCAATAATACAAAAAAAACCTCATAGCAAAATAATCAAAAAACAATAACAATAACACGACGCAATTAAAAACCAATGGCTGGGCCAAATGTAATAATTAAAAAAAATTAAAAATAATGCTTGGCATGAACAGGTAACATGTAATTGGGATAAAGGTTTTGGAGAGGGAAGAAATGTGCAGAATATGGAAAATTGGTACAACTATATTTATGACCAGGTGGTCCAATCTGAAACCATACTGTAAATATAAATAAATAAACTTTGTTACTTGGTTGCTCACCAGAGTGTTTCAAGCATGTGATATAAAGCACAAAGGTTTAACGGCTCACAAGAAAGCCCCAGCCAATTTAAAAAGGAAACTGCAGCAGTACAAGGCGGTAAAGGGATTTAGAAAGGAAATTCTTTTTCCCCTCACTGAGTCAAGAAGAAAGGCACTTGTAACAGGACAGAAACAGAGTACGTCCCAGGTATTAAAGTGGCAACAGAAAACTACATATGTGGTGTGGCATTACGTATTCAGTTATGTGCAATGTTACGCCCCACACATACCATATGTAATCTGGAAAGATATACAGGAGGATAAAACAGAAGCAATTTAAAATATATGGAATGGATAGAAAGCAGTGAAGCCAATGTAAATATTACACAAATAAACTGAGAAAATTACGCACATGGTTAAGGACAAAGAAATAGAGAAAATATGTGGTCTGGGAGAAGGGTGATGGGGATGAGGGGTGTTAGCAATAAAATAAAATGTCATCAAAGAGAAGAACGTATAAAAGGAGAAAGTGCAGATAAAAGTACTGTTGGATAAAAATGAGACATTTATAGGTATATGCACCAATGGAAATTAAATAAGATGATGCAAAGCTGGCAATAATAATAAAAATCCTTCAACATCACTTATAGAATTAATTTAAGGGTGGTGAACACATGAATTGAGCACTGATTTGTGATTTGGAAAGCAAACGCTTGGTAATCCATGGTGACGCTACAACCAATCTGCACCACCCCCAGAGTCTGCACTTTGTGGCCCAGCCTAAAAGGCGTCCAAAATGCCCCCTTCTCCTTACAGGAACTGCTTGGCTTGGCACTCAGGATCTCGCCCATAAAGATGAGTTCGTCGTCGTCGTCGTCATCCACGACAATGGGCTTCTCCTTCTGCTGCCAGGGCTCCAGCTCCTCCTCTTCGCATTCCATGAACAGCTCCGCCATGATGGCAGCACTGGGCAGAAGGACAAAGCACCAACATCAGAAACTGGGGCAATGGCTGCACCATTGTTCAACAGGGACAAATGCAAGATACTCCACTTAGGCAGAAAAAAGGAAATACAAAGATACAAAATGGGGGACGTCTCGCTCGAGAGAAGTACGTGTGAAAAAGATCTTGGAGTCCTCATGGACAGGAAGTTAAACATGAGCCAGGAATGTGATGTGGCGGCAAAAAAAGCCAATGGGATTTTGGCCTCAGGCATCAATAGGAGTCTAGTGTCTAGATCTAGGGAAGTCCTGCTCCCCATGCTCTATTCCGCTTTGGTTAGACCACTTTACCTGGAATATTGTGTCCAATTCTGGGCACCACAATTCAAGAGGGATATTGACTCTAAGCTGGAATGTGTCCAGAGGAGGGCGACTAAAATGATCAAGGGTCTGGAGAACAAGCCCTACGAGGAGCGGCTTAAGGAGCAGGGCATGTTTAGCCTGAAGAAGAGAAGACTGAGAGGAGATATGATGAGGGCCATGTTACAGTATATGATTTTGTAAGTCTTGACAAGAATCATCTCTTGCTTATATGTGTGTGTTGAGGA